TCATGTAAAAGTTATTATAATAAAAAAATAGAGTAAGCTACTCTAAAAGAAAATAAGCAACTTTAGAGAATTTTGTTATATAATTATATTATATATTGCTTTATTATAATTATATTCTGTAATCAGATAAAATAATAAGTAAGAGAATTATAGTATGACAAAAAACGATTATAGTCGGCTATTCAAAGCCAGCATGTATCTCAATGACGCCAATCAAGTTTAATCAACTTTACGATGCTGTTAACTCCGCTAACTGCAAGCCGCTCAAAGGCGATAGATTATGTCGCGAGTGTATCTGTTTAAAAGAAGACGAGAATATATTTAATTCTTTTTTTTTATGTCTCAAAATAATTTTGAATTAATTAAATAAATTTTAATTTCATGATATATAATCTTTGTTGATTTTGCTTATAGGTATGTTTATTTGTAAATTTTTGCTTACTCGCAAAGTTTGATTCATACATGAATGAGAGAAGTGCATTCTCGCGAATATTTTGCGGTCGCTTTCATTTCGGGCGACAAATCGAGTCTGGTGTTTTCGGCATGAGCAAAGAAATTAATAATACGATATTTGTTTATTCTGGCACGGGCCACCCCGAATATTTGCCGAGCGTATTTAGTTTGGAATTCGAGCGGTCGCACCTGGAATCGAACGAAGGAGAGAGAAAAACCGAGACGGAGAGAGAGCCGCGATCGAAGGCGCGTATTTGCTCAGCTATTTATCACGGTTTATTATTTCCCATTGTCGGCGAGAGTCGGCGCATTGTTGACGCACGAGAGAAGGGCCAAGGCGAATCTCTAAAACCGTGTCCGATCGAATTTGCATAGGGAATGCGGAGCGCACGCGCGCGGTGCATCCGATTACAGGCCCTATTAATTGCGGTCTCTCATTGTTCTCGCGGCTCGCCGGGTCCGATTTGCCCGTTTCTCGGATTACCAACTATATTCTTTTTCATGAGGGTTCAATCGATCCCCGAAGTGTAATACGAGATGCTTATTTTATATACATAATAATAAATATGCATAGTTATCTCTGCTATCACTGATTGAATTTTTCATACATGAAAACATTTTTATATTTGTATTTAAATTTGTAAAGCCTTTGTGTGTATAAGTTGTAAAATTAAGATAAGAATGTGATTAGACCCAGTATGTAAAAGAAATTTGATAACGTTATTTATCATTAATAACAGAATTATTTTTATAATATATACGGTATTCCTTTAAAAATCAAACAATATCGAAACATCAAAATTATTTTGAACATTTCAAAATTTTTATTCTTGAAAAAGATTATATGACAATTATTTATTATTATCGGCTCTTTGAATCACGGACTCTTGTCATGTAACAATATCAAGGGATGGCTGCAAAGGATGCGGGGTGAGGAAGGCGGGGAGGGGAGTTAGATGGAGTGGGCAAAAAATCGGGCATAAAATTAACAGTATACAGCCTGCAGAATGCAGTTTGTTGCTTGGCAGTAATATTTCACGAAGGTCTCCCCTGCGGGGCAGAGTGGGTTCGTTCTCCAGGGGAGGGCGCAACAATGGAACCCTTTACCAAGCCCCCGGTGCCTAGAGCCAGCATCCATACATCATCATTCATACTGGAAAAAAAGCTGGGGGCACCTTTGCAAAGCGCGAAGGTTGGGGGACCGCGAAACTTTCGGGGTACCGAAAATTTCGCATCAAGTATTTCTCGAACGTATCGAAAGATCACATCGCGTCTTGCCGGAAAGCGGTTTTCAGTTCAGGAAATAGTTTCAGGAACAGTAGAGATTAAGATCGTTCCCTGTCATGATTTGAAAGCAATTGCGATCCTAATTTTAAATACTTAAGAAATCCCTTTTTAATAATATAAATTTTAAATTATGTTTTAACTTAACATAATGTGTATAATTATACATATATTAAAATTTTAATTTTAAGTATTATAGAGATATTTATATATATAAATGATATTAAGATAAAATTTTTATTTCTTAAATTAATCATTGATTTCGTTACGTCAGTTTTTTATATTAAATTATGTAACAAATATAATGTTTTGACACGCAGAAGGGATGTGCCGTTTCTTCCAAAAAAATCGCGGCGTGTTACTTTCGTGGTCACAACGTTTTCAGAAATCAAACTTTACCCCTTCAGGAGACACGCCTTCTGGAAAAGGGGTTGTTCTCGTAAACAATGACGGGCAAAAATCGCCAGGGCTATCTGAAAAACGTACGAATCCGCGATCTAGAGAAAAGAGAAATTTCAATCATTAAAGAAAGATGCGCGATCAGTTTGACTTGAGCCAATCGATCACGTGAGAAATAGGCGAATCGTCGAGTTCATCGCCTTGGCGTGAAGTGAAAACTAAAAGGAGGAACAAGATACGAACGTAATCCGCTTTTCGAAACGAGGCAACCCCTTCGTAGACGACGACCCATCGGTCATGTCACAGCACGGGTGACTGATTGTAAAACCATAGAGTAACCCACAAAGGGTTGCAACGCGGAGCAAGCAAGAGAAAGAGAGAGAGGGCAGATTGCAGAAGGGAGAGGGTTTTAAAATTGCGTCTCGTAATCGACGTGTAATCCTCTACAACCGTGACAGTCCGAACATAATGCGCACAACGAGAGATGACCAGTTTGTTTTCTCTGGTAGGTTATAGGTAA